ACCCTGCAGCAAGGGCCTCTCCACCAGGGATGACCCCGCGCCAGGGAGTGGAGCTGCAGGGTCTTGCCTGAGGAGGGCCCCGGTGGGGACAGGGCAGCCATTCGGTTCGGGGGGGGGCGCCTTGGCCAAGAGGAAGCCCTGGCCTGGACATCCTGGGAGGTGGACGGAACCAAAGCCCCCTGCCCGGCTCTGGCACAACACAACCAAGAGCACAAAACCGTGGAGAACAAAAGGCAGGTGGTGGTGGTGGTGGTCCTGAGAGCAGAAAGGGAGCCCCAGGGGCGGCTCAGGATGGAAGGAGGCCCCTGCGAGGCTGGAGGCGCCTCATGCAGGTGTGCACGCGCGCACACACCCCTGTTCGGGAAGAGCCCTGGAGCTGTTGAGAGGGGGGGCACAGCAAGGAGGAACCCAGGCTTCTGGTGTGGAAATTTCCATCCTGCCCTCCAAGGGCTTGATCTGTGGGAGGATGATTTGAGCAAAGCCAGCCAGTGGGCTGAGGGCCGAGAAAGGTGGCTTCCTCCCAGCTGATCCCCAAGATCTGCCTCAGCATGCACCCCCCCCCCTTTGGCTTCCCATACAGATCTAGAGACCAGTCAACGGACATGCAGACCCCAGATGCAAACAACAATGTGAAGCGACGCTGCCGAGGCGAAGGCTCCAAACCCTCGCATGGAAAGGTTGACCGCTCTGTGTCCACGTTGGCCTGTGTCCTGGAGCATCCGTTCTCTATTTAACTCCACCACCACCACCCCAAACACACACACTGAACTCCCCCTGCCCCCCCCTTGCTGCCAAAACTGTCCGATAGTATCATGTCCGTCCGTGGTGATCATAGCCTCCACATTGGTGTCGTTCCGTGAGTGTGTTTCTCGTGGCCTCCCTCCTTGTGCTGTTTTTGACGTGATGCACCATCTTTTGAGAAGAATGTTGGAGGTTCACGTGGCCCGCCAGTGGGTGGTGGCAACTTCCCAAAGGAAAATGGCTTTGAGCTGGGGTGAGGGTGGGGGTGTCAGGGCTCTGTGTACCCAACCCCCCTTTCTAGGATGTCAGAGGCTTTGGAAAGCCAAGCTTGGGGGGCTGGGGGGGGGAGAAAATGGTGCAGAGGTCTCCATTAGAAAAGAGGCTGACATGCTCAGCTGTACCAGGACATCCCCCCCCCTCACCCTCAGCAAGACCAGGGAGAGGGGGTGTCTCCTTCCCCCCCCCATGCCACTGTGATGCCAGGTGAGGTGAAAATGCCCCAGGATCCAGGAGCGGAGGAGGCGTCTCTTCGTGGGCTTGAGGGCAGGATGGAGACTGCCCTCCTGCCTCTGGAGCTGGGAATGGGCCCCCCCCGTCTGCTCCTCTGTGGCCCACCGTTTTGAAATTCCCATCTTCCTCCTCCTCCTCCTCCTCCTCCTCCTCCTCCAGGGAGACTCCTGGGTTGTTTGGCCTTAGGTGACCACTGTTGCTGTGCTCTAAGGCCCTGAATGACCCTATGGCAATGCCACTGCCCCTCTGCCCACCCCAGCCGGCTATTTGCAAGACTCTGACTTCCCTGCAGCATCACTGTGAGAATGCATGTCCGTGTCCCAGACATTCAAGGATTGCTCAAGGACGGAGTGAGTCTCCATGCCAGCGAGAGGGGCAGCCACTCTCAGACCTTCTTTGGCCTGGCGTTGGAGGGGGGCCGTGTACCCCCGATGCAGCACCCTGCGTAGCCCCAGAACCACTCCTAGCCTTGGCCCCTGGGAACAGGCGTGGCAAGAGCCGCCGGGCACCTCCTGACCTCTCCACCACCCTAGGCACTATCAGCTGGAGCAGAGCAACGAGGGGAACGGCTCCCCACTTCCCTGAGTCCCTGCTGTGTGCGCGCTACCACCCCTCTGTTCCCCTACACCTCTCTGTTGTGTCTGTCGTGTGCCATTGGTAACACCCGTTTAACACACCCAGTAGGAAACTACCCAGCTGTACAATTGTTGTAACTCTGAAAGCCAAGCTCAGCATTGTGTGTTCGCCTGAAATCAGCCTTCCTGCTGTGATAAAGGACTCTTGCATTTCTGTGTTGTGTCCCCAAACAAAAAAGGAAAAAGGGAATAAAATACTGTTTCTATTTCAGTGGCCCTGAAGCCTCTCTGTGGTGTGCTCAGCTTTCTCTTCGATGGCCCTCTGGGGTCCTTCAGCCATTCTTCTCCTGGATACACAGTTAGGGGGTTTGCATTGGTGCTGAGACCTAAGGGGTTTTTTTTTGGGGGGGGTGTCCCAGAAAAACCCTTTGGAGTCCAACTCTGCTGTGGCCACCCCATGCCAGCCTGGCCTCTTCCCTGGCCCAGCACTGGGGACTGGGAAGGAGGCTTCTCGCCTTCCTCCCAAAGAGAATCAGAGGCACGTGGCACCTTTGCTGGCACGGTGACTGATCGGCCACCAGCAGGCAGCCCACCGAGGACCCTGAAGAAGCCGCCATGTCAACCTGCACTTCCCAGAACGGCCTGGCCAGACCCGTGTGGGCTTTGGGATCCTAGAAGTCACTTTCCCACCCTCTGTGACCCAGGCCTGCTCTTCTTCTTCTTCCCAACGGGCTGAACACCCTCCTTGACACCTGCCTCCAGTGCTGTGCTTTTCCTCCTTGGGGGGTGGTATCCCACCAGGCCAGAAGGGGCTGGCCTGTATCCCCTGCCCTCGACACGACACGCTGGAAGAATCCCCCTGGCTGTTCTCTGTCAACATGGGCTGTCCATCGCCTGGCTCCAGGGAGTGACCAGGTGCCTGCTAGGAGAGCTTGTTGACCGGCTGCCGGAGAACCCTCCCTGCCCAGGATTCCTGCTGTAAGAAAGTAAACCCTCTCCTGAGCTTGGAGGGTTTGCTTGGGGCCAGAAGGAAAGCGGACCCAGGGTTGTCGTCGTCGTCGTCGTCCTCCTCCTCCTCCTCCTCCTCCAAACAGTCTCCAGGCAGGAGACAAGCCTGGGAATGTCCTCACCGGTGAAAGCCAGGTCAGTGGAAGAGAGCTGGAGGAAGAGGAGGCATGAGAAGGCTGGCATCCCAGGCAATGGAGAAGGCACTCGGGGAGGGGGGGGGAGCCCAAGCTGGGCAATTTGGTTAATTCCTTTTCTAATTAGTACAGCATAAAGTACAAAGCAACAGAGAAAGTGTAAGAAAGCAGCACAAGTTCTCAGAACCCATCTTTTTCACTACCAAGCACTTAAAATAGTAAAAGAGAATCTCTAGCAGCATCTTACATTTTATAAAAAAGCATCTTTGCTTACAGCTGATCTTCAGTTACAATCAGAAAAAATAAAAGAAAGGTTTTAAAAAATAGTATTTGAGCCTCAATGATGTGGGAGACTGTTGTCTAACATAGTCAGTGCTCAGGAGCAGAGAAAGCATGTCATCTCTAGTCAAAAATCAGAGAGGAATAGGGCAGGAACAAGAGAAGGGGCTTGGGCAGAAAAGGCCTTTGCTGATTAGATAGTGGCAGAAGACAGTCACCCCAGTATTTGAAAACTCCTTCCTCCCACTTAAATCCAGTGTTTGGTTGCATGCAAGGCTGTTACCATGCCAACACCCCATCCCTCTCCCCCCACACACACACCAGCTATCACACTAAATCTTGTGTGTTTTCTAAGGCACAGCTCTGCTGCCATGGGCGGTTGGTACCCCTTCGCCCTCCCTAGGTCACATCTTTATGGTGCACACCAGGCAGCTCTACCTGCCATGCCTACCCCTGACCATTTGACCCCCATCCCTGCCGGGCCCACAGCGCTCTGTCATGGGGGCTGGCATTCCCCAAGAGGAAAAGGCCAGGGAGAGGCTGTTCAGGCACCCCAGCTCTGGAAGAAAACAAAGGCTGGGTTGGGTGACAGCCCCATAAAGGCCTTCCTAAACGGGTAGGGTTCTGGATGTGGCCCCCTCTCCCCTGGGGATAAAAAAAGCACCCCTCTTTCCCCACATCCTGGCATCACCTGCTGGAGGCTGTCGCAGGGCCCACCAAGCAGTGGCTGGGGCTCCTTTGTCTCAAGAAATACCAGGGCATAACGGGGGTTCTCTGCAGAGGACCAGCTTGTTGGATCAGCAGCCTTTATGATTATTTTTATGAAGATGGTTTGGTAGGAGGCTCAGGTGGCAGGAAAGGTGGGGGGCAAGGCATAGTTTAAAAGAGGAGAGAAGCATTCCTGCCAACTCCACCGCACTGCCCCCCCCTTGGTCTTGCCCTCTGGTCAGGTTGCACCCCTTTGCCAGGCCGGATGATGCCCAACAAGAAGAGAGAGTGTGTGGGGCAGAAGCTCTGAGGTGAGTGACATGCCCTCCCCCTGGCAGGTCCCCCCCCCCACTGAGACGGAGCAGAACCAGACGTGAAGCAACGCAGGAAGGCCCCCGAGGCTTGCCTTGGGAGGGCCCGGTGGGAGAGCCGGCACCTCCGTGCTCGCTCTCGGGTGCAGAGCTGGCGGCCGGCCGAGTTTAATTGGTTGTCACAGCATGCCTAATGGGCAATTCTCTCCGGCCGCTGCTTCTCCAAAGTGGCCAAAGGGGTCACCGCCCAGCCTGCCCCTCTTCCTCCTTGAGAGGGTCCTTCTCAGCACACTGGAGCGACCAGCCTGCCAAGGAGATACTGGATCAAATATTAAGCTGGGCCGCTGCTGCCCGGAGAAAAGAGAGAGAGAGGAAGGACTGGGGGGGGGGGGGTTGAGGGGCTCTGCTGGTCCCACTGGGCATCCCGTTAGGGAAGCCGGCAGCCACTCCAGCCCTGACCAAAAGACCTCTCCCTGCTGCAGGTGGGGGGGGGAGCAGAAGAAGTCAAGTGGAGACACGGCCGGAGGGGAGGAGAGTACCCTCGGCCTGGACCCTTAGGACAGGGTCAGCTTCCCGGGCAGCCCCACCTGACCCACCCCCTGCAGGGCTGGTTTCGCCATCAAGTCAGCCGCCTTCTGGTCCCCAACAAGGTGGGCAGTCCATGATGGACGGAACGGCAGCATTGGCTTCTAAGGGGCTTTTGGCAACTTGGCGGGTTCTGGTACTCAGCACCCCGGCCTCTGTGCATGCCTGGGCCTCAGCCCCACCACAGGAAGAGGGGGGGCTGCCCTTTGTGGGGAGGAAAGTCTTGCATCCTGGATTCTTTTCTGGTTTCGTTGCAACAGGTGGGTGTCTGTTTTCCCCTCCCTCCCAGCTGACAAGGTGATGTCTACCCCCCCACGACACACACACACTAATATA